TAGAAAATGCACCAGTGGGTAGCCGCTTCATGTTCTGCCGCGGGCCGATGGGATAGTCCGGCCGGAGGGTGGAGACCTAGCTCCGACTCCTGTCCTGTTGCTGTCCTGCTGGTTCCATGTACAATGGTGTTACATCCATACTACTACCGTGGAGTACGTACCTCTCCATCTCTCCAACGGCGATTGCCATGTCATCCCTTGATCACCTGCTGACTGTACATAGTGCAACGCCGCCTTGCCTCACCTTCCGTCTCCCCATTGCATGCCCCGTACGTACGTATGCCCATCGCCTCCAATCACGGGGCAGCGCGGCGCATTAGCATCAGACCCCTCGACACTACCTACGCATTCCCTGGCCCTCTTTGCCGAGTGTTCCAGACGTCGGACCCATCCATCGCATAGCTAGCCCTTCTTTCTCGCTCGCTCTCTCTATTCTGTCTTGATTCATGAAACACGTACAGCGGTACAGGGGCCAGGACATAAGTATGTCCCTACATTAGCTAGCTGCTGCTACTGCAGGGAACCCCAGCCCATCCTACAGCCAGCCGTGGCCCACGGCCAATCGACAGCCGCCATCAGTAGCATATCCCTCTCTACTATACTCTCTCAAGCTATTTCAGAAACACCGAAACCAGTCATGCTATGCATTTTCATCACATTGCCTCCAATGGCCACCATGTCCATATGCACATGTACCTCTCTCTGCACGCGATCCTTCAAGTAGCTGCCCCCCCCCAAGCCCAAGCCCACTCGCTACCATTTGCGCCAAGGGCCCTTTGTACTTAGTATCGCTAGTGCTCCACTTGCGTTGGCCCTTCTATTCTACGGCTCTATTTTGGCCGCGTCTCGCAATCTCTTCTAAAAGTGTACACAAACGGCGACTAGCGGAGCAAAGAGGCCGGATAATAACCTTGTACATTAGCAAAGAACAGGACCGAGACCCATCGCAAACGTCGCAAACACACGTATCTTATTGCCTGTGCCTAACTGCCGTCCCATTCTGCCACCCTCCCTGGTTTCTTAGCTGTTAGCTAAACGTCTTGGACACACTATAGGAGCCATCTTGGCCTCCTTGACGTCCAACCTACATTGGATTGTTGAATGCTCCCATGGATTCACATCCCACTAGTCGATGAAAGCTTAAACATGAGCTTGTATTTCATGACCCTTCTGCCCATCTAGTCAAGTAGCTACCTGCGTTGCCTACTTACATACACCCCCTCCCCATATACTTATATAACACACACCACGCGATTCAAGCAACCAAGCGGTACATACTCTCTGCATTTGTATCTTGATAAGCAACAAGGGAACACCAAAGGATTCCCCTCGACCATGGCTTCAACACCTACTACCACCCAACGGTCACGTCAACTGCCTGGCCTGGCCTGCGACGAGTGCCGCAGACGAAAGCTTCGATGCGATAGAGTCCAGCCACAATGTGGCGTTTGTCGCGATTCTGCCACAACCTGTGTAACTACTACAACGCGCCAGCCTCGTGGTCCCAAACGAGGACATCTTCGCGCCCTCCAGTCTCGAATAGGTAATTTCTGGGTCACATGTCCGCATACGTCATCACGCTAATATATGCTTCCAATAGTCGCCCTTGAACGTCGCTTAAGCAGCGACAGAACGTCCGAGGATACCACCGACGATGATTTCACACGCCTTCCCGATGACCTGGACACTTTCGCTACCCCAGACCAACAAGCATTTTCGGATCTTATCCCCCAAGATGCTCGCGACTTGTTCGAAAAAGAAGCCTCGAGCAGTGACTTGGCACACAACTTTGAAGTCGATTCCGTCTTTTCCCAGTTGAACTCGGCCATGGCACTTCCAATCACAAGACTGTCCCCAGTCGACTTTATCTCCGAGCCCATGCGCTCAGACCTGTACGTTTCGATCGCTTCCCCATCCCAAACCCCAGCTTTCGCTAATCACAATCCACATTGCAGAAGCCATCTCTATTTCGACCGCGTTCACAGTTTTTTCCCCATTCTCAACAAGAGACACTACTTTGTGCGAGCCCGAAGATCGCATTATGAGCAAGAGGATGAGGCATTTTACTGTCTGCAGCATGCCATGTGGACCCTCGCAGTTTCTACTTCGAGTCAGTTCCAACACATCCAAGACGACCTGTACGCACACACACATCGTATGATTGAGAACCTAGAGCAGCGATATCTCAACGCCGAGTGCATGCGATTAGAGCAGGTGCAAGCCCGGGCTTTGCTCACCATCTATGAATTCATGCGCGTGGGTTATAGAAAAGCATGGATGAGTGCAGGCAAGTGCTTCCGCTTCGCTATGCTCATGAAACTCCACAACATCGATGGACGCGATGGTGTCGCATCGTTATTACTCCAAAATCTCACCTTTGTCGAAATTGAAGAGCGAAGGAGAACCTTTTGGATGGCCTATACCATTGATCGAATTATTAGCCTATTGGACCGGCTACCGGTCACGTTTGATCAGCATACCGTAAGTCGATCTCCCGTCCTCACGCAAGCGAACCCTTGTTCTAACTCGAATCAAAGATTCTCACCCGGCTGCCCTGCCCCGAAAAGGAATTCCAGTCCGACGAGCCGACCATCATGGATTTCCTACCCAGCCCGCTGCTGGTATCCGAATCCAAAATACCATCCACATTCACAGATTCGATCCAACTTGTCGCAATATGCGGACAGTTGTTGTCGCATCAGCAGCAAGGCGTTGTCGAGCATGCGCAAGGCTTGATCTCGCTCGGGTTCTGGGATAGGCAACAACAACTGGATGCAAGACTAGAACAAGCCATTCAAGGCATGGCTCTCGACGACCCATATGCCTTGATCTTCCAAGATCCAATGGCGTATTTCACAGTGCTGGCCGCCCAGGCATCAAGCCTCATGTTATTCAAATCTAGTCAGATAGCCCCATGGGGCACAACTGACGGCCTCGATGTTGTTGCCGAATGCGAAAAGAAAGCAATGGCCGCCGCGCACCAAATGATCATGATGTCCAAGGCTTTGGTCGAACTCAGCTACTTCAAGGTAAACATTACTCCAAATTTTTTATTTCTCTTTTTTAAAAAATATCCAATTTCATTGCTAACTAAAATTCAAGATCCATCCATTTACTCCAGTCCTTCTCCACTTCTGTGGAGACTTCCTCATTTCCAACCATCACCTCGATCCCACCTTCGAAATGCGCCTAACGCTACAAACTGTGCTACAAGCCCTGAGCCCAGTAAACGTCATTGCACAAGAATGTGTAGATAGACTAAGGATAGTTGACTAAATAGAATATGAACATTGATACACTACTTGTTTGAACCATCTCTAACTTGCAACCTTCTCGGGCTCTGCAGGCTGGGCCACAGCAGAGCCAGCAGGAAGAGGCTCGTTGATCTCAGCAAAGGTTCCGAGAGTAGGATCCTCCTCAGGCCTCTTGCTGCCTGGCGGTCCCTTGAACAGGATGATGACCTCCTCGAAGTACTTGTTCGTCTTGGCAAAGTACTTGTCGGCCTCCTCCTTGCCCTCGCCAACGAGCTTACCCTCGAGAGCAGCCTGGAAGGTCTTGAAGAGGAAGAAGTGCCTCTCAATACCGGTGCCGACGTTCCAGGCCATAGTGGGGGTCTCCAAGTGCCGGATGGCGACGAAGCTGTAGAGCAAGTGTGTCATGCCCCAGTCGACGTTCTTGATTTCCTTGCCGATGAGAACTGACTCGGCCTCGCTGAAACCGCGGCGATGGCGGAGGACGAGCTGCTTTGCGCGGAAAAGCGATGCAGCCATGATGTCAAGGGCGCAGTGGAAAGTGAAATCGGCCTCGGGGTCCTGAGTCCGCTGCCACTCGTCCGTGGTGCCTTCGACGATACCCATCTCTAGCGTGTACTGGGCAATTTGCTGGCATACATCCCGAATGTTCCAGCGGGGGCCGAAACGGGAGAGTTGCTGCACTGTGGCTGGTGGCGGAGGCTCATGGTGGACAGGTGCTACGGCAATTCTGCCCGTGGTGGGGTTTGGGGGAGTCTCGGGGAAGTCGTATCCGTATCCGTGAGTGCTAGTGTTGGACATAGTGGGCAGAGACAAGATGATTCGAGATGTGCCTTGGTTGGTAATCGGGAGTATAAGATGTAAGCGTGGGTTGGATATCGTCTTACATTTGCTTGCTCGGTAAATATATATATCTTACATCCGATCGGTGGAGCGGTGGACACGGAGTTTCTCAACTCTGCCGGAGTTACTCGGAGGTTCCTACATTTTACTCAACGGAGCATGTTGGATATAATCTGCGATCTGCAGCGCAAAATCTGATGTGGATACTGGGGACGTGTGCAGACTCGAACCATCTTTGATGGCCATCTGGAGTGATCTTACGCATACACGTCCAGTCGACCTCTGACGGACAATCAACTCTACCTGCGACGGAGTGATGGATGGTGCCAAGCCCCGGGTAGACAAAATGTTTCACTAGGGTCATACCTAAGCTAATGCTACCAAGGGTTAGATACTCCTTCTCAGTCAGCGATGTGTAATCACTACAATGTTGCAAACATGCGTGCACTCCATGGCATTTTGGACGGGTTGTCAAGCACTTTTCATATACAAAAATGACATGACACGAAGATTGCATATGGTACATGAAGCAAATGTTCAAGTTGAACAACCGTATTGACATAGCTATGATGCCAGTCGAGCACTCGAGACTTGCTAGGTGGAGCCAACAATCGCTAGTTCATCAAAATTATTAACCATCGAAAGTTTTACTAGTTCAATATACCATCACAATCACATTGAAGCGCCAATAAACTCCTTATTGGCGCCTTCCATTTGAACATCAGCATAACTAACTGACATCAAACTTTTTTAAATCAATAATTCATGGCAGTTGGATTTATCCATATTTCTACTTGGACTTTTCATGAATACTTGATTTTGAACTGGAAAAATGGAAGCCATTAATTCACATGACCAGCAGGAACGCCAGACGCGATACATGAATGCAGTATATAAAAAGTTCTCCTAAAGCACCACAATCAACTTCTGGGCCGAAACACCCTTCTTGATGCGCTCCAATGCTTCCTGAATCTGATCCAACCCCTTGCCGACAACCACAGGTTCAGGAGCACACTTGTATTTGCCCGCCGCCAATGCGCCAGGTAGGAAATGCTCGTAAATGGCACTTCCTACCTCATTCTCCATGACATCGTCTCCCCAGATGAATTTGTAGCCGATGCCCTTGACTTTGCAGTTTACCATGGTCGAAACCTTGAACCAGAGGAAACGCGCAATGAACGATACCATGTTCATCCCTGTGGGAGGGATCTGACTGGGCATGGGAAGAGATGCTTGTGCGATGAATTTGACTCCGGATGAAGCAGCCACGATCTTGATGCAAGCTTCCATGGATCCATCACCGATAGCAACGCTACCGGCCAATTCCGATCCCTTGAGTACGCCAATAATATCCTGGACCGCGGTTGCACTGTGGTAGTCGAAAACGTGGGTGGCGCCCAGACTCTTGACGAAGTTGAAGTTCTTGGGCGATGCAGTGGTGATGACTTCGTATCCGGAAGCAGTAGCAAGCTGGATAGCGTTGGCGCCAACACTTGTTGAACCGCCCCATATCAAGACGGTTTTGCCCTTCTTTTCAGACTTGAGTGAAGGCGGGTCCAGTGCCAGGTAGGTCTTCATGTACAGTGCGCATGCAGCCGTCGAGATGGCGAGTGGGAGCACACACGCGTGTTCATAATCAAGGCTATCCGGTATCGGGGAAACAAGGTTTTCGCGTAGCACGACGTATTCTTGAAATGCGCCTTCGCAGGAACGGTTGCTTCGTTGGTCGATGCTTACGGCGTCACCGAGTACGCGGTCGCCAGGGTGGAAGCGTGTGACTTTGGATCCAACCTCGACCACCTCGCCTGCTACGTCGTGGCCGAGGATAAAGGGGTATTTTATCCAGGGCATCATGTTGTCTCCCATGGCTTGTTTCATGGCCTCGACAGGGTTGATAGCGATGGCTGCTGATTTGACAACTACCTCGTTCGGCCCGGGTGGTGTGTAGGGTGCTTCGCCAACATGCAACGGAAACACCTGCTTGCCCGCAAGCCAAGCGGCCCTGTTGGTAGGTGCCATCTTCGAAGTCCGAAAGTCTAGCGATCACAAACGGAGAGATGTTTCTAGTAATACTGTATGTATTGAAAACAAGATTGTAGAACCGTAAAACACAACAAGTTGTGTGGGACGAGAAGTATGTTGGATGTGTTGACTATTTCAGCTTGTTTCGTCGCGAGACTTCGTTTGGCGGAAGGTTCAGCAGGAGAAGTCAATTAATTTAAGAACTGAATGCTGGCGAGGGCATCTGAAGGCAGGAATGAAGCAGGATGGACAACGGTCAGCAGATGGGATGCATCTACACACATATGTAGTATCTGATCACAGTGTCGCAAAATGGTACACATTCAATAGTCGGCCCGAAAGGAGCGGTAGTCGCGACTGGCGCAAGACTTACCAATTTGGTCTACATCAACCGGCCAAGCCATTGGTCCGGAGTAATCTAACCACTTATCGGACTTCCAAGATGCACCGTCCCGCTGATCTCGCCACCAGCTATCCAATTGGGTCAAATGATGGACTTTTCAACATAGATTGTCGCGCTTATTTTCTACATGGGAAAGGTAACGTTTTCAGGATTCAAGATAATCCTTGTAAGTCTTTACGGTTTCGATGACGGTGCTTTCCAAGGGAAGAAACTCTCTTCCAATGAGAGCCTTCGCCCTCGCGGCATCTACCTTGTACACGCCGCCTTCGGGATATCCAGCGATATGCCATGTGTCTTTCGCCGGCAGCCTTTCGCGGAGTTCTGGAAACTCTTCGTAGATGATCTCTATTACATCCTTGATGCAAAGCTGCTCCGAAGATGTGAGGAAGATGCGTTCGCTGGCAGAGTTTTCCTCTTCTATTGCTTTTACGTGTGCAAGAGCAGCGTCCGTAACGTTGACCCAGGTGTAAAGCCCGGTAGGGAAGATCTTACCATCAAGAAGCTTACTAAATATCTCATTAGAAGCATTCAGTGGCTCTGGTGGATAACCTGGATACCGGACCATTGGACCAAAGATACCAGGAGGAGTGAGGGTAGTCAATGTGAACCGAGGCTTTTCTCGATCCATAAACTCCCAAGCAGCACGTTCAGCAAACGTTTTGCTGGCACGGTATCCAGGAATCCAACTCGAGTTATCGAGTGCCTCTTCAAGTGTAATTGGATTCCAATCAGCGACTGTGTACGTATGTCCCGGCCAATTGCCCTTTGACCCATCGATCAAAGCAGCCATGGACGAAACATAAACTACGCGCTTGACGGAAGGTGCTAAGCGAGCTATGGAAGAGAGCAGGCCAGTCGTTCCAATAATGGATGGGTCCAATAGTTCTTTTTGGACGTCATTGCAGCTTCGCACGTTAGGACTAGCTGTGTGAATTACTGCATCGAAGACATGGTCGCCTTGGAAAACACAGTCGAAGGAACCGTGTTTTGCAACATCGGGCACAATGAAAAAACCAAGCTTGTCTTTTGGTAGGGTTGGATGAAGGGCCTTAATGCGGTTGATCCTTTCCTGGCTTCGAACGGTTGTAACTACGGTGTGGCTAAACCCACAGCTATCAGCACGACATCGTGAGACATGATCTGACAAAGGAGCTCACCTGCGTTCAAGGAGATGGTTGAGAATATGAGCGGCTAAAAACCCATTTCCGCCGGTAAGCAGAACATGCATTCTGCGATATTTCGGGCTGGTATGGAATCTCGGCGGGGGTATCGGTGTACGAGGTGGTTGTGGTAGTACACGAATCGAAGATCAGGAGGGTAGTCTGGCATAAACTCTTTAGTTTTGTTACTTCTAACTCGAGCTACAAAGACCATAATCAGTCGTAGCGATACACTAATCTCATCATTCGAGGTTCGGCACTTGACAATTGATACTCCGAGGGAGTAATAGTGGACCCGCAAGCCAAGCAAAGAGTCTTGCGATTATGGATAGAGGGCGAACCTTATTGAATTCGCACTGAAACGACTATTTCACAAGGAACTCCGCGCATTCATTCGCACGGAAATGGTGTCCTGATCTCAGTTTTGTAGTACATGATACGGAGTTTCTCTCGGCTTGGCGTTCCGGCAATTTGTATTATCAGCTGCGTCTTCCTTGGCACCCATTTAGGAGTGACATAAAGACCCTTAAGCTTCTGAGTGGTGGAGTAGTTCTTGTCAAATACGATAAGCACATCGATACACTAACCTCCGACTTCATCATTGCCACAGCTTCATTCCCATAGTCTCGTTTCGCTATATCGTCTTCAAAAATGGCAGCTTCAGCCAAGATTCCACTTGTTGATCTGGCGCCATACTTTGCCGAAGACGCCACCCCTGAAGCCAAAGAGCAAGTCGTCAAAGAAGTCTGCGACGCCGCCAGAACCTATGGATTCTTCAGCATCGTTGGCCATGGCATCCCCCTCAAAGACCAAGACACTACCCTAGAATGTGCCAAGAAATTCTTTGATCTATCTGCCGAAGAGAAGAAGGCGGTTTTCATTGAGAATTGTCTGGGAATCTCAAACCGTGGCTATGAAATGTATAGAGGCCAGACTTCAGAGCCAGGCACTCTGCCTGACATGAAAGAGGTGAGAGTCACCTAGGCTGTTATTCTTGGCCCTTCAACTAAACTCTTGTAGGGATTCGTTATCGGTGCAGAGATACCAAAGGACCATCCCGATGCTGGCACTTTCTTGACTGGTCCAAATCAGTGGCCCGAGGCTCTGAAATCCGAGGATTTCGAGAAGCCTCTTATGGAGTACCGCAACAAGATGGTCAAGCTTGCCGAAAAGGTTCTTAGAATCCTCGCTTTGGGTCTCCCCAAAGAATGGAACTGCTCACCTGATGCTTTCGATGAGTTCTTCATCAACCCATCGGGAAATCTGAGGCTGCTGCACTACCCGCCTCAGCTCTCCACCGATCCTAAACAGCTTGGAGGTAAGAATGCACTGTGCCATGACTATATGTTCGAGATTAGCTAACAGGCAAAAAGCCGGTGCTCACACAGACTTCGGTGGAATCACCTTCTTGCTTCAACAACCTGGTTCAAAAGGTCTTGAGGTCTTCTACCCCCCTACTGAAAGCTGGGTCCCAGTTCCAGTCACTCCAGATTCTTATGTGGTTAACATTGGCGATCTGGTCCAGAAGTGGACAGCTGGTTACTACCGCAGCGCTTTACACCGTGTTATCAACTTTGGCGAAAACCACCGTTATTCCGCTCCGTTTTTCTTGAACGGCAACATGAAATTGAAGATTCAACCTCTCAACGGGTCTGGACAGGAATTCGGCGTTCGGGACCATTTCATGTGGAGGTTGAAGACTTCTCTTGGTAAAGAGAAGAGTAAATTCCTGGAAAAGGAACCAACGGCGCAAGCAGTTGCAGCATAATGTTGTAATTACGTACTTCAAATACTGCTGCATGGAATAAATTCAACTCATTTTTGCACTTCAACTCTTTTTTCTTCAACTAAACCAGTGCAGTTGATGCACACCACACTCGAAACGAGATCTTAACCAGGCGAACAACATTGCGATGGTGAATAAACCACGCTCTCACATGGACCTCGAGATACGCGAGATGAAGTGACGATTACAATACAACGTGTTGCACAAATCATAGTTTGTAGAGCTTTGTGCATCTCCGTATATGTAGATTTCGACTGCAAGCTACTTAGGTTTTCATTCTCTTGGTCCCGATCGTGACGATATATTAAACAGCTCCTGAATACAACTATCATGAGGCTTCTCACAAACTCAACGATCATTCAGCTATTACTTGTCTCCTTTCTAAGAATCAGTCATCAAGGGGATGCTAAAAACTAGTGCAATACAGCCCTACGTATATTTCACGCCTAATCCTCTCGCATTTCCTTATCATAGACAATAGAATACCAAGATTGGTTGCCATTTCACTTGTCCCCTCTGCTTCCTGCATTTACTCTGCACATTTTACGTGTTGAACTCGACCTCTCTTTCTACGAAGCGACCAAAACATCTATTTAGGTCTAGCAATTATTATTGTTATATTCGATGTATGCACGAATAACGAACCTAGAACCTAGGAGCAGTACGAGCTCCATCATTTATGAACTTTTAGGATGCCTTGGGCTTAGGCCTCACGTCCTTCCAGCCCATCCAGCAACTTACAACGACGCCCAGAATCGACATGCCAGTACCAAAATAGAATGTAGTTCCTATGCTGTCACTGTATGCCCTCAGCAGAGATGGTAGTTCCCCTGCATTAACGAGACCTCTCATTCGTGTTACACCAGCCTCAATGATCTTCTTCGAGTCAACAGTGGGCAGATCACTCTTAAGGTTGTTCTTCAACTCATTTGTAAAAATAGTCTGACCAATAACAGTCATTAGAGCACCGCCGATCTGTTGAGAGAAGACGAAGATAGCGAGAGCCACTGGAACTTCGGTAGGCAGAAGGGAACTCTGCAACGCGATCATTGGCTGGGAGATGTTAGTTATAAGAGATACTGGACGGAGGCTGTGATAAAATTACCATCGGAAGCGCAAGGCCTCTCCCAGTTCCGGAAATTAGTTGATATCCTACTAGCTTTGCAACACTTGTTGAAGTCGAGACTGTAGTGAACAGGCCAGATCCAATGGAATTCAATGCCCCACCTACAAGGATGAAAGGCAAATAGTAACCGAATCTTTGCACTACGGATCTGTTAGCAGACTAGGTTGTGATATAGGACGGGCATCTTACCAAGTTTTCCGCTCACAATAGTGAACACGATCTGTGTCATAATTGTAGGAAGAAAATTGTAGCCACTTTCAAAAGGTGTATCGGCCTTGACACCTTGAAAATACAGAGGGAGGTAGTACGCTGTCACAAACACTGTGCCCGAAATGATGAAGATCGTCGAGCAGCATGACCATACGATCCGTTTCCCCAGCATTGAGAAGGGTATCAGAGCAGACATGCCCTTGCGATAGTTCCAAAAACAGAAGATGGCGAACATGACTCCGGTTCCGCAGAAGAGGCCAATGACTTCCTGGCTGTCCCAGGCGTATCGATTTCCGCCAAAGTCTAGGACAATGAAAAACATGATTGCAGCGGGACCAAACAGTCCAAATCCGATGAGGTCAAATTCCCGCATCGGATGCTTGAGAACTTCCTTCCAGTGGGGTTTAACAAGGATTTCGGGAACGTTCAAGAATAGGAGGGCAGCGAAAACAAGAGCACCAGCGGGAAGGTTGATGTAGAAGCCTGGAAAGTGTCAGTAATAAATATGACCGGGCAAAAAGCACACATACACCATCGCCATGACACAAACTCCGTGATGGCTCCTCCTATAAGGGGCCCGCTAGCAGATCCAAGGTTTCCGACTAGTTCTGTTAGTAGATTGCTTGTATATCAGCTTGCCTAGAACTCACAGGCCATGAAAAATCCTAGCATTCCGGGTCGACGTTCAGGAGGAATGGAGGCATGTATCATCGTGAAACCTCCGTTCATAAGTCCAGCACCCCCAAGTCCAGCAATGAATCGTCCAGCAATCAACATGGCTGATGTTTGCGCAGCACCACAGATAGCAGACCCAATATTGAAGATTGTGAAGAAACCGAGGAAAATCTTCTTTGAGTTGAAACGAGCGTACATCTTTCCGGTCAGAGGCTGGAACGAAGCACTAGAATGCGAGTTAGGAAGATAACAAGTATTAGAAGAGATGACACCTACGCGCATAGCTGATAAGCAGCTCCATACCAACCCACATCAAGGAGGGAATTAAACTCGTCCGTTATGTGCGGGATTGCCTAGATCCCAAGTCAGAAATAATTTATCTTAAGCCGGCTGGAAGATGAACTTACAGTAGAAAGAATCGACATGTCCAGCATCATGAGGAAATATACAAGCGTCATGGAGATTAAGAAGGCCCACCTATTTAAGAGTAAAATATTAGCTTATTCTAGCGCAAATGCATTATTGTTCTCTGATATCACGAGCTAACTATGGTCTCGTGATGCCTCATGAACGTCAGATGCTGGGGAGCGCCATTTCGCTGTACTTACAGTCGGAATCCAGAGAGATAGGAAGGCGCCGGTGGGTCAGCAACAAGCGGTTTATCAAGCTCAGAGGTTGTTTTGCTCCCCGCAGAAGAAGGTACCTCTTTCATCGCCATTGTGAACTGGTTGCATGAGTCATCCACCATCGCGTTGATGTCATAATCCCAGATCTTGTGCGATCGATCATGGATCTCCTGGGCAATCTTCTTGTGATTGGAAAGACACTCCGGGTTTTGGTATTCGTAGATCTCACCAATGACTCGGCTGGTATCCATGATCCACTGGGACCGATCATAACGGACGTTGTTATAAACCTCGAGGGCAACGCGGGCAGCTGTAGGGCGCAGAGTCTTGGGATACTCCGACACCTGTTGCAAAAGGATGGCAAGGGCGAGGCAGTCCTCTATGCCACATCCTGCACCAGCGCCGTGGTGGGGTGAAGAAGCATGCGCTGCATCGCCCGCTAGGCAAAGACGACCGTTAACATAGGAGGGTACAGGCTCTTTGCATGTGTCAAATACTGCCCATTTGTCCAGATTCTCAGGCAACAGAGCCATGAGATCTTGGACCACGGGATTAAACTTTGAGAACGCTTCAGTCGCCTCGGCCTTGGTAGCTGGAACAACAAACTTGTTGTCTGGTGCTGTCCACTCGTCAGGGTCGGTGACGAAAGCGACAACGTTCAGGATCGTGTTGTTTGCCACTGGAAATGTCAAGGCGTGAGCACCAGGACCACAGTGCATTACACGGTTGCTGGTCTTGAAGACTCCTAGAGCGGCCCTAGCCTTATCCATCGGTACAAGACTCCGAATTGCGTATTTGTGGCTATACGAAGGAGTGCACGCGGGGTGGTTGTCTCCAAGAATAATTTCTCTCATCTTCGAATGGATCCCATCACAACCAATCACTGGAGCTTGTCAGCGCTTGATCTGCTTATACGTTTGGAAGATTTACCAATGTCGGCCGTCGCAGTTGTGCCATCTCGGAATGATAGGTGAATCCTCTCATCCTCATCATTTTCAATCACAGAGACGAGATCCTTGTCATGCTGAATGTATTCTGACGGGACCAATTTTACCATCTCAGCCAGGTAGTCAGATCTTCGACACCCTTCAAACCCACGCTCGCCTAGATACAATTTAAGAATTGTTTCTTCGAATTTAGGATCTTCCTTGCTGCTGTGGTAGCCATCTAGATAGTAGAAGTAGTCCTCATCGTTCTGCGCGGCAACCTTGCGGAACGCGGCGTGAAGAGCTGGGTTCAGCGCCGTCATGGCCCGTTCGGCGTTTGGAGTGAAGCCGATTCCAGCCCCGACCTCGCGAAATGTATGCGCTCGCTCATATATGGTGAATCTGATATTACGCTGAAGAAGGCCAGTAGCAAGCGCCAGGCCAATAATTCCACCGCCAATGATCGCGACCTCGAAATGGCCTTCATCGGAGACCTCGACGACCTCGACCTTGGTGTTGGGTTGTACCATTTTGCGACTCTTCGTGATATCGCGAAACTGCTGCTTGGGGTTCGGCTCAGAGGTTTCAAGGATGGGAGGTGATGATGAGTGCATGAAGGGGCGCATAATAGGGTACTGTTTCTCCTGCGCGTACGTGCTGGGCACGCTTGTGCCACAGCGCCATACCACGATCAGATACTCCGATGCCCGTTTTCAGTGCATGTTCGGGCCAATTATGGATTATTTGATCGAAGAATCGATTGAGTGCAGATGCCGCACGTTAAGATCGGTGAGAGTCGGAGGCACAGGAGTGGAGTCTGGCGGAGTTCGGAGTTTCTTTATTCAACCTACCATCACAGCAGTAAAGCCGACGTATAGTCCATGGGCTTGGATCCAACACTAGAGATAATGAATGAATGAGTTATCGGATTTAACTACAAGTGAGCGGGCCTTAACAATTGAAGACACAACACATCAATCATCAACTTCATCAAACTTCTTCATTCTAACCAGCAAATTCACCATGTCTGGCTTACCCCGAGGTGTCGATGTCCTTGGACAGTTTCCTCAACTCAAAACATACAACCATGGCGTCGCTCTCTTTCCATGGCGCGAAGACCTTACCCAAGAAATAGTAATCTCTGCACTTAGGGAAGCAACTGGCAAAATTCTCGCGGCAATTCCATGGCTCACTGGACAAGTTGTCCATACAGAAGGTGAAAACGGGACTTCTGGCACAATCCGTGTTGAGCCGTGGCCAACGGACATTCCTCCTCACGGCCTCCTCAAGATCAAAGATGCAACCGATCTTTTACCATCCTACGCTGAGATGTGTGCTGCAAATGCACCATTCTACATGCTGGATGGAAAGGTACTCTGCCCTTACCCAGGATTTCCTGAGCGATACGACACTGCAGTAATCGGACCTGCACCACCAGCTATGATTCAAGTTACATTTGTCAAAGGAGGCTTTCTTTTGACATACACGAATCAACACAATGTTGTTGATGGAACCGGTCTTTTCACAATCATCACACTTCTCTCCGCGGCTCTTCGCGACGAGCCTTTCCCAGAAGATATCATTGCCGCTGCAAACCAGGATCCAGGTGATGTAATTCGTCTTTTGGATCCATTTGAGCCTATTCTCGATCATAGCTGGCTGCTCAAGCCTGATCCAGCACCCGAGTTTGTCCCCGCACGTCCCGGTGGAAGGTGGCAAAACTTTCTCTTTCGTAAGGAAACACTCGCAGACCTCAAGAAGCTTGCCGAAGATCCTGTTGGATATGATCCGGACGTTCCTTTCATCTCTCCAAATGACGCTATTTGCGCCCTATTCTGGAAGTCACTAGCCTCAGTGAGAATAAAAACTGGATTAGCACCCTCGACAGTATCGAAGTTCAACCGCGCCATCGACACACGACCGGTACTTGGAGTTTCTCCAGGTTATCTAGGTCAGATGGTGTACATATCTCCATCGCGCCTCACGTTCCAAGAGCTTGTTGACGCACCACTCTCTACTGTTGCGACTCGACTGCGCAAGGATCTCGACGATGTGAACAACGCCTTCTCTGCTCGCTCCTATGCCACCTTTGTTGACTCTGTCGATGATAAGATGCAGCTTATGTATTCCGGAGGAATGAATCTTCAAACCGATGTTGGTCATTCGTCAATGATGAATGCGAAGGTCAATGGATTCGACTACGGTATTCTGGGGAAATCAGACTTCGGACGTCGTCCTCACCTGCCATTGACAGTCAACACATTCTATATCTATCCTCAGGAAGCAAATGGTGATTATCTCATCCTCGTCTGTCTGCCAGACATGGAGTTGAAGGGACTCATGGAAGATCCTGATTGGAGTCGCTGTACGTATGTGATTGAGGAGAAATACTAGAGGACATCATTGAAGGTATATGACTCTCTCATTCTGTAGCATATTCTAAGTTTATGATCAACCGAAACCCACGTATTATTTTTCGCTAAGAATTAGTACATAAAGAGAATTGAAATATAAGTGTAGCAAAATGAGTGACTAACGTGTGGAAGATGAATTGACTTAACTTGAAATAGTGCATTAGAGTCGAGATGGAACTATACGAGATCGCAGACGACCGAACATCGATGCTAGGCACTTTACGTTTGATTTTCTCTCCCATCAGGCAATATGCTATTCGTCAGAATTCTGTACTCGGGAATCAAACGAATCATAATCATTGGTTGTTATGATCTGCAATTCGCTTCATTCAGCTACTACTGTCTAGTGGGCGTAGTAACAGATAATTAATATGCAAAATATCCGGTAAAGCTCAATTTTGGCCTCACGCCGTATGCCTAGTCGCAAGTCCTTGGTATGCAATAAAGTGCTGAAATTGAAGGTAACATGCGAGATAACACATCACACCTTTAGACATGGATGTAGAAATGGACTCTGTATGTAACTATCAAGTGTTTTAACACATAAAAAGTACATTTACGCATCAAAGCTGATGAAAAATCAGCCTCCCGCTACATACACTTCCTCTTATATCAAACGTTGCCTATTCCCAAACTCCAACACACCAACGATCAAGATGCATATTTTCTCCAGCCCCACTCCGGTCGCCACCCTACTTCTTGGAGCCAACGCATTTAAATGCGTTAGCGACTATGTCGACAATGCTGCTATCGAAGCCTGGTGTGATAGACTTGGCGGAAACTTTGTGGGTGGTAAAGACAGTCACACCGACTCGATCTCTGAGCAGCTTTCCGACATCCGGAATTGCTGTGAAAAGAGGCAGCTTATTTGTGATTGCGATTGCCCCACTTATATACAGAAAAGGACGTACGTCTCTATGATTGATTTTGAGATGAACTTGTACTGATGGTTAGACGGCTTCGGGGCGTAAAGGTCTTTTGAAGTGTCAAAAACGAAGATAAATTACAAGGAGTAGAAGCTAGAAGGGTGCCAGCGTGTTCCTTGTAGCTTTTGCCGATCGTTTATGTTCTTTTTGAGGTGATGAATTGGAAGACTGCGGTCTATGTCCAAAGTGAATAAGCTAGATGGGCAATAAACACGATAGCCCTCAACGGCAACTAAATGTATGTATACGTTTCGTCGGCTTTCTAAACTTTTTTGTAACAGGACAGAGCTACGTTTGGATGTGCTGACCATCAGTAGTGTCGCTCCATGAAAATTTACGATGCCCCTATGGACCCCAATATCGTGTTTAGTGTTCATACTCCGAATATATCTGCCGCGTTTTCAACATAATAGCAATCTTTACATGTTTTTGCAATTATTTTCTATCATCCGTGTTCGAACACAGTCCCGCAGGTTGGAACTGTGGATCTCAGTGTTGTGTGTGCATAGGGCTCTCCACCGCACAATCAATACGCCATGTCTCCTTTCATGTTCTTGATTAATTCAATTTAGCAACAGTGGGCTCGCCAGCAAGTGGGCGAAATGACCACTGAAAATGACTGTCAAAGAAGTGAAAAGATTTGGCAACCCCTCAGGCTGTCGAGTTCTGACTTTCCATGTCTCGAGCTCACTTCGACTCGAGGGTGCCGATTTTGTGCCTGGATCATACATCGGCTTTTTGGTAGCATGTAATTAGTTTCAAGATCGGCTATTGTCAGACTGTTAGCCTCAGCTGAACAAGTATGCAACGCTAATAGACGGGCGGGTCATTTCTCTGCTTTTGGCGTATCTTTACCCGCCTTTTTAGTTTCAAAGGAGTTCAATGAATCATTGACTTGTTTCTGTAAGAGAACTGACCTATTGATTGTATCTATGCACAGTGCTGCCTATCGCTCCTGTTGTGTACTACTCCCTTTGTCTTTGTGGGTATGTTTTATGTCTACATCTCAGCTAAACAAAGTAAACTTCCATGTCCCCCAACCAAGCTGAAAACTGAAGTGACTTGATATTCCACCAGTACCGATATCTGTGGCGTCTTTGGGTCTAGTTACAATTGCCCATTCCTGCTCAGAAACGTTGTCGTCCTGACTTGGAGACTGCGTACACGAATGGGGTGACGAATCAATAACATTAGGCACTAGTTAAGTATTAGTTTATATTAGGCTATATATTACACGTATATGATATTTAGCTCCAGATTGTCACGATACTCTAGACAGTAGAGGCCAGCCCTCGGGGACCCGCCGGAGACTACTCGGGCCGGAGGCGCGACAGCCACAGAGATAGAGTATATAGTCCTGCCAGAACCCTTGGGTATCCCCCCAAGGATTCGTCT